GCCGTAGAGTCGGTACCAACTCATAGTGACTCTATGTAGGCCAGAATGAAACACTGCCCAGTCCTGGGCCAACCTCACAATTGTTGCCACACTTGAGCCGATTGAGGCTGCCACTTTGACAATCCATCTTGCTAGGAGTCTTCCTCTTTTTCTCTGACCCTCCACCTTACCAAACATGATATCCTTTTCCATTGACTGGTCATTCCTGACAATATGGCCGAAGTATCAGAGACGAAGTTTGGCCATCCTAGCCTCCAAGGAGCATGCTGGCTGCACTTCTTCCAACATAGATCTATTTGTTCTTTTGACAGCCCATGGCACTTTCAGTATTCTCCTCCAACACCATAACTAAAAAACATAAATTTTTCTACAGTTTTCCTTTGCTGTCCAGCTTCTGCATGCATATGAAGTTATTGAAAATACCATGGCTTGGTTCAGGCGCACCTTAGTCCTCAAGCTGGCATCTTTGCTCTTCAACACTTTCAAAGGTCTTGTGCAGCAGATTTGCCTATTGCAATACGTTGTTTGATTTCTTGACTGCTCCTTCCATGAGTGTTGATAGTTGATCCAAGAAGAATGAAGTCCTTGACAGCTTCAATCTTTTCTTGGTTGATAAGAATGTTGTTTATTGGTCCAGTGGTAAGGATTTTTTTTCTTTACATTGAGATGCAATCCATACCGAACACTGTGCTCTTTGATCTTCATCAGTATTTTAAGTCCTCTTTACTTTCAGCAAGCTCATATACAAATTTAACCTGAAGCCGAAGAAAATGAAAACAAGTCCATGAGAGCCAAAATATGACCTTGAATATATCCCATCTGAATTTAGAGATCATCTGAAAAACAGATTTGATACATTAAACACTAAAAGACCGAAGACCAGAAGAGTTGTGGGATGACATCAAAAACATCATACAGGAAGAAAGCAAAAAGTCATTAAGAAGACAAGAAAGAAGGAAAAGGTCAAAATGGATGTGAAATAGGGTAGAGTGCTTTATATCATGAAACCTAATGTATCAATCCAAACAACATTTTCAAATATCTAGCTTTTTGGTGTAGATAACAGAACAGTTCTTGTGCTTTTGGTAAATCCTGAACAGAGTTGAGTATCTTGAGGATGTTTTACCCAGTTCACCTTTGTCACCATTTTCTTTAAGTCTTTTAGTTTTCTAATTGCAGGTGACATTCTTGTTTAAAACTAAAAACCAAACTTGCTTATCTTTTTATTTATTTATTTAAGTTTTTATTGCGAATTGAGTGATAGTTTACATGGGAGAACATCAGCTTTATATTCATCCTATCATATTTCATTTCATTGCAACAATTACAATCCCTTCCATGCATCATCATTCAACAGCATTTGCTTCCATTCCCTCGGTTTTGTTTTTTTTTTTTAAACTCGCTTATCTTTTGACTTTGTTTTTAGGCTAGTGTGAGAAACGCCAACACCAGAACCATCTTTGATCTTCGTTATGGCAACTCGTATAAGAAACTGTTGAATTAGGCCCATTTCCTAGATATAAGAAACCTTACAAGCAGTGGTGAGTTGTAAATTTAAAAATGTTCCATATTAGAAAACTTATAGTATATATGTCCAATTTGAATATTGCATATGACTTAATTTATAGATCTGAAGAACTACCATTTCAAAGAATGTCAACTAGGAAGGGAAAATTAGTAAAACAAGGTGTTTAATTGATGTTGCAACACTCTAATGACACATACAATTGTGTAAGGTCTTGAGATGCTTAGATACGTTATGAAACATTACGATGCTACCTTTGTGGGTGATCCTAGTGTAAGTAAGAGGTAAGATGGTTGTAGTTAGTAATTTCATGTGATTGAGTAATAATGTTTTCAAATGGTTTTTAGTACTTGCAACATAATTTTATATTTTACTGATTTATTCCTGTGATAGAAAAATTTGTTCTGGGTAAAATTATGATGCTCAATTCTTGCCAAAACAGTGTGTGTTTGTGTTTCCTGTAACAGTTAAATAATAAGAAGTAAGAGAAGAGAAATTACATTACAGTCTTTTAAGAAATTATGGACACCTTAGTCTCTATAGGATGAACACTGGACCGCAAGCCCTACAAGGTTGGTGGTTTTAGCCTACCAGCCATTCCGTAGGAGAAAGATGAGGCTTTCTGCTCCCCCAAAGATTTGTAGCCTCCGAAATCCTATACAGGATTGCTATGACTTAAAATTGACTCAGCAGCATTTAACAACAGCAACAACAGTCTATAAATCCTTTTACTTAATAAAAACCATATTAAAAATAGATCCATTTGCTTTGCCTTGTTGGAACAATTTTGAAAACTTCTTGCTATTATATTATAATATCAGCACACACACAGGCAGAATATCTTTGAAGTCAAATACTTGATGCTTCACAGTCACCAAAGTCAATAATCAATAGATTCCAGCAGAGATGAATGAGTTACATAATCTGTCAACTAACATCTTTGAGAAATAAGGTATGATGGGGGTGCCTGCCAGACTCTAGATGAAGCTGTTTTGAACTGGTGATCAATATCCCTCTTTCATTTGCCCAATGATTTTTATAATTCTGGGTAGGTGGGCTACCCTGTGAGTTGATACATAACCTCTTTATGTGTTATGTATTTAACAGAAGACTGATTAAATTAACCCTATGGTTATTTCACATTATAGTTTTTTTTGTTTTTTACCATTTGCCTACAATTATATTGAGAAAGTAGGTATCACAGTCATCACTATACTGTGCTTAAGCAAAATATATTGAATGAATGTTTGTTATCAAGGGTGAATCATATGTAATTGCTAATAACCAACCATTTTTGACCTAAAATAAGGTCAGTTTTATATGCTGAAACCTAATATTTGAACAGTGTGTCACATTATGGATATAGAAAAAAATATAATATGTTGACTTTAACATCAAAATTAATCCATTAAACAAACATTTATTGAGAATCTGTGATATAGTTATCAAACACAGCTTTTGGGATAGATGAAAGACAGTTCCTGCCTTAAGGAATCTTTCAATCTAAAGAGTATGATATTGACAATAAAATTTACTATTACAAGGTTAGATATATTCTAAAGCGTATAGTACTTATAAGGTACTAGGAAGTGTGCAGACTAAAAGTAGTATGTTGTTTTTGTTGTTAAGTACCATTAAATCAGTTCTTACTCATAGTGACTCTGTATAGAATTTCCGAGTCTTTAAAAATCTTTGCAGGAGCAGAAAGCTTCATCTTTCTCCCACAGAGTGGCTAATAGACTTGAACCTCCGACCTTGTGGTTCACAGTCCAGTCTTATCCTATGGAGCTACCATGCTCCCTTAAAGGAAGTATGTTGTTGTTGTTGTTATTATGTGCTGTGGAGTCGTTTCCAACTCATAGCAAACCTGTATAGGGTTTCCGAGGCTGTAAATCTTTATGGGAGCAGAAAGCCTCATTTTTCTCCAATGAAATGGCTGGTAGTTTCGAACTTCCAACCTTAAGGTTTGTAGCCTGATTCGTAACCACTATGCTACCAGCAGAGGGAAATTTAACACAGATTGGGATGAGGATTTATCAAGGATGGCTTCCTAAAGGAAATCATATAGAAGCTGAATGTGGAGGGTAGACGGAAGAGGAATGAGTGCAGAGTGGGAACATTTCTTTGTGACCCAGTGGCTTGAGAGAGCATGATTGTTTGGGAGCACTACTAGATACTATGACAGAGACATAAATGGGAATGGCAGAGATGAAACTGAACAGGAGACATATCATTAGGGTTTTTTACACAAAGTTAATATGTTTGGATTATATTCCACAATGGAAGAACTATTGAAAGATTTTAAATAAGGGAATGGCATATCAGCTTTATTTTTAAATTATGAAATATATCATACACATAGAAGATACCCATGCACATGCAGAATTTAAACCACAACAAGAAAGCAAACCTTCTACAATCACCACCCATATTAGGGAATATACGTCCAATAAGTCCCTGTTTGCTCTTTTCAGCTCCCATTCTTGTCCTTTGTCAGAAGAGGTAACCACTAACCACTCTCCTGAGTTCTGTTACAGTCATCCTCTTGCTTTTCTGGGTAGTTTCTATCTACGTATGCATCTCTAAACAGTCAAGCTCAGTTTTGCTTCTGCTTGAACTGCTTGTACTCATAACGTATATATACAAGGGGGCTTCAAAAATGCATGGAAAAATGGAATTAACAGATCATAGAGCTCTTTCACTAATATTTTGAAGTCCCCTTGTATATACTTGGAGTCCTTGGGTCATTCAAAACCTTTAATGCTCAACTACTAGCTAAAAGGATGGTGGCTTCGATCTATAAGAGGGACCTTGGGACACAGGTCTTCAGAAAGGTTACAGCCTTTCTGAACTATGGAGCACAGTCGTACTCTAATGCACATGGGTTATGAGTCAGAATTGACTTGTCAACAACTGACAATAACAAAAGGAGCTCTGGTAGCGTAGTGGTTACGAATCGGGCTGCGAACTGCAAGGTCAGCAGTTCGAAACTACCAGCTGCTCCGCCGGAGAAGGATGAGGCGATCTGCTCCTGTAAAGATTTACAGCCCCGGAAACCCTATTCAGGGTCGCTATGGGTCGAAACCGACTCGACGGCACTTAACAACAACAACAATAACAATGTATATTCTTTTAAAAGATCATTTTATTTATTTTGTTGTTATTGTTGAGAATCTTCACCAAATCATCATTTTCTACATGCACACTTCAGTTATCATTGATTACATTCTTGGAGTTGGGCAACCATCTCCAATCTTTTTTTCTGAATTGTTCCTCCTACATTAACATAAGCTCACTAGCCCCTAAGTTTCCTAGCTTATCTTTTGAGAACTTTTGTCAATTTGATCCCATTTAGCTAGATTTTGAATGACCACAGTGTTCAATGTAGATATTCTTTATTTGCTAAGCTAAACTCTTGTTTGGTTTTAAGATTATAGCAGAAATTTTAGACTTAAGGGGTAACGATTGTATCAGGGAAATCATTTCAGGGATTTATCCAGCTTCTGTGACTCTAGAAAGTCTGGATTTCATGTGAACTTGAAATTCTATTCTGAATTTTCTCCCTTTTGAATAATAGATATTCTGATCTCATTATTTTGTTAAAAATTGTGTATGAGATTCTTCCATGTTGATGCATGAGTAATAAAGTCAGTTTATTCATTAAAGTTGTTGTAGAATATTCTATTCTAGGAATATACAAACATTTGCTTATCCATTCTATTGATTAAAGTTTTGCACAGCGGCAGCAGCAATGGTCTTAAGCAGAGCAATGATTTTGAGATTGGTGTCGGATCAGGCAATGCTGTGTTCTGTTGTTCGTAGGTCACTATGAGGTTACTGAAACTACCATTCCTTGAGCCAGGTGCACCTTAACCTTAAGCTAGCATCTTTGCTCTCAAACACTTTAAGGCGATCTTATGCAACAGATTCGTCTAATGTACTACATCCTTTGATTTCTTAAATGCTACTTTCATGAGTGTTGATGGTTGATCTTAGCAAAATGAAGTCATTGACAATTTAAATCTTTTCTCCATTTGCCTTGGTATTATTTATTGGTCCAGTGGTGACGATATTTGTTTTCTTTACATTGAGGTGTAATCCATAGTGAAGGCTGTGGTCTTTGATTTTCATCAGTAAGTATTTAAGTCTTCTTCACTTTCAGCAAGGAAGGTTGTATCATCTACATATCACAGATGGTTCATGAGTTTTCCTCCAACCCTGATACCATGTTTTTCTTCATATAATACAGCTTCTTGGATAATTTGCTCAGCAAAACGATTGAATAAATATGGTGAAAGAATAAAACCCTGGCACACATCTTTCCTAATTTTAAACCATTCGGTGTTCCCTTTTTCTGTGTGAATAACTGCCTTTTGGTCTATGTATAGGTTTCTCTTGAGCATAATTAAGTGTTCTGTAATACTCATACTTCACACTATTGTCTGGAGCTTGTCATGATCCACACAAACAAAAGCTTTTGTGTAGTCAATAAATCACAGGTAAACAGCTTTTTGGTATTCTCTGCTTTCAAGCTAGATCTAACTGAGGTCGTCAATTATATACCTCCATGTCTTCATCTGTATCTGGTTTGAAACTCTGGAAATTCCCTGCCAAAGTAATGTTGCAGCCATTTTTGAATTATCTTTAGCAAAATTTTACTTGCATGTGATATTAAAGATATTATCCAATGAGTTCCACATTCCATTATATCACCTCTCTTTGGAATTGGAAAAAATAAGGATCTCTCCCAATCAGTTGGCCATGCATCTGTCTTCCCAATTTATTGGTATAGATGAGTGAGTGCCTCCAGTGCATTATTGGCTTATTGAAAACTTTCAGTTTGTATTCCATCAATTCCCAGAGCCTTGTTCTTTGCCAATGCCTTCATTGATACTTGGACTTCCTCCTTCAGTATCTTTGACTATTGATCATATGCTGTCTCTTGAAATACTTGAACATTGACCTTTATTTTATTTTATTTTGGTACAGTGACTCTGTGTAGTCCTTCCATCTTCT